TATGCCGGACCCAGGACTAGAACACAATAACTTTTTTTAGAAAGCTGCCATAAAGCAGTTTTTATTGCTATAATGTCAATTGCAGTTGCAACACTCTGAGAACTGTTGCCTGTACCTTGCCAATGTGTTTTTACAGGTCTGTGAGTGACATTCCCGAGTAAGAGTGTAGATCGTTATTTTACTCAATGGACACCCTTGGCAAACAACGGTAACGCTATTTTTGACGGTACTCGTACCTTGATCACCCACATAGCGTTGAAGCTGCAGCGTAAAAACGTTATGGGGGCTGATTTATCGTTCTGACCAACGGTACGTGTTTTGGCCAAATATTGCATAGTCTTCACTAGACTATTGCATACTGTAAATATACAAATTTTCGGCAGCTATTAAGGGTGCGTTCTTATATTCTCTAGCTTCTAGAAGAAGAAGAAAAGAGAAGTCGAAGAAACTGGGATTACTCAAGAACGGGTCTCGAAGAATTCGGAGATATTTTGCACATGTCAAGCAAAATGAAGCATCAAAGGGGCCGCGATCTTGAGTGATGAAAGTATGTGCGTATCAGGGAGTCGTAAAATATTTTACGACTCCCTGGTGCGTATGCGAAAAGGGAAATGCGTATACTCATGATGAACACGTGGCTTTTAGTCGTAGTTCGCATGCGCTGATCCCAAACCGCGGGAATCTCCAAGTTTAGTAGTAGTAGTAGTAGTAGTAGTAGTAGTAGTAGAATTTATTATTTTGATAGGGAAGGCCCTACAGACGTTGCCGTCTTGTTACAGGGAACCCTAAGTGCTCTTTACAGAGCGAAACAAAAACGGATAGATGCTCAACCTGACGACACGAGACAGGCAGAGAATTCCAACTATCAGCGCCAAGGAAAGAAATGGAGAACATGCCATATCTAGTGGTAGCAGCGGGCAAAGAAAGTGAAGAGAATGATTGCCATCTAGTGCGCCTCTCGGTGCAAGTAGCAGCCGACTGGAGGGTGAACATTGAGGAAAGAAGAGGACTTGTAAGCTGATGAATACAGCGGAAAAAAAAATAAAAAGCCTCAAGTTGAGACGAGATTCGAGGGAGTATATCTTAGCGTGCCGCAAAACAAAGACAGTCGGGGTACGGCGAGGGAGACCAAAAACCTGTTTCATGCTGATATGACTTAAAGTAACAAGGCGAGAGTATAAAGATGGTGTAAGACAGTGAGCATACGAGTTGCTGGCGTATTCAATAGTGGATTGGATGAGGGATAAATAAAATATTCGCTTAGTTGTGTGGTCTACTGTACGGCGGCAGCGGCGGAATGCTCCTATCTTCTTATAAACAGATGTACATACATGGTTGACTTGGTCCTCAAAGGTGAGGTGTTGGTCAATAATGAGGCCAAGATAACGCGCTGTGGCAGAAGGTCGAATATCGACACCACCGCATGCAATGGTAAGATCCGGCGGAAGAGGCAGAGCCTTCTTCCGAAGCACCATGAACTTCGTTTTCTGGGCATTCAAGATAAGACCAATGCTTCCAAGGTACGTATTTAGTCTGTTCAACTCACTTGTCAACTTGTGCTGAAGTTCTCCAGTAGACTGACAGTGTATAATAAAAGCAATATCGTCAACATACTGTTGGGACTCTGCGTGGCGAAGTACTCCAGGGACATGTCGCACGAACAAAGAGAATAACAGAGGCCCTAGCACCGACCCTTGCGGAACGCCTCGTGTACAATGTGTCTCGTCTCCTCTGTTATTTCCAATTTTCACCTGTTGTCGTCGACCCTGGAGATAGCTGGAGAACCACTGTAGTGCTACTCCGCTTATGCCGATAGCTTGAAGCTCGTTAAGTAGTAGCTTCCGTCTCATTGGCGTGTGCCCAGCCAGTTTTGGAAAGAAAGAGTAGACGTTCATTTCTCGTTCAACCTGCAATGAACTGGTGACAACACAAACCAACAAGACGACGATGGTTGTCATCAGCTCATGTGTTCGCCACCGCAGTGCTACCTTTCACTTTCCTGCTCCAAATGCACTACCAGGCTGCATGGTACTACATACCGTCGTGGACATGGAAATCCGGTCGCACGTATAGCAGCCCCAGGGCGCTGGCCATGCAGCCGTAGCACGGTTTATCATGCGCTGCTGCTAGTCGCATTGGATCAACATGTGCACTGCATGCAACGTTCTGTACGAGCTGAGGGCGCCGGCCCCGGTCAATCGACTGGATTTCCATGTCCGCGACAGTACAATATGTCGATAATAGACCGTGATTTGCATTTTCCAATGATTAGGACTGGTATTATTTCTATTTTTCACACTTAGGGCCTGGTCAGACTGCGGCAAAATCGAAATAATCCTAGGATTATAATCCGAATCTCCATAGTAACTTGCCGCCAGAGCGGCAAAAGCGAGAGTTGACGCTCCAAAAAAAAGCAAGAACGGGCCACGCTTTTCCGCTCCAAACAGGATATGACGCTGATACGCCATTGACGCTGATAATCACTGATTTTTCCATCTCGATATCGAGGAGCTAATTGGCCACGGACACCAACAAAACTCATAAGGATGGTTGCAAGGATTGCACTGAAGGTGTTGGCGATCCCCAAGGTGAAGGAATTTGACGTCGTTCGTGAAGATTACCACTTGACGCTCGAAAGGAAGTTTGAATTTTCATTCTCCCCACATGTGTAGTGTGATCGCGATTCAAATTCTGGACGCTGTTCTTTTTTCATCAGGTAACCAAAAGTTGCCGCAGTCTGACCAGGCCCTAAGAAAGAAAACAAGGGGCAAGATTTGATATGGATTATGTGGTTGTTGGCTACGTCACCATTTGAAAAAGGGTTGCAACCGTGATAGCACTGTAACATGAGTTTAAACCTACGTATTGCATGGTATACTCAACAGTTGGCGAGCAGAGAATTTCGTGCCGAATTCCGCCCCAAGGTTGTGCACAGCAAACAACTTGATATATCATTAGCCCTACCCTTGTGCTATACGTACCCGTTGTGCCGATCGAGCCTGAGCCCTCTACTCGACTCCACGGTCCAATGACATTCGGTCATCATGGCCAAATTCAAGTCACTCAAGTGTTGAGAAGTGTCTACGTCGTCGCACACGGCATGTGTCGACATACAAAAATATGTATACGATAGAGAAAGAACTACTGAAGAGCAACCAACTGGTTTCAGCATTCTCCTACAAAGGATAGGTCGGTTGCAGAGGACCAAAGCCGGACAATAGTTGGAAATTCTCAGCGTTGAATTTCTACAGGCTGTAGATACCTGGAAAAGCTCGATTTCCCGCCACGGAAAATAAAAAAAGTCTTGATTTGGGGTGCTGGCGCTTCGCCTGATATTACACAATAGAGAGGTTTAGCACAACGAAATTCGTTGTTCATTTACGTTTTGCCGCTGTACGAAAAAGCCGACCGAAATTCGCTGAATTTTTGTTTAGCAGAACGTTCGCCACGAACTTCGGTGTTGCTAGTGGATACCGTGGATGTCCCGGAAATCCCCGCGAATACAAAAAAAATAGTAATCCTCGTCACTCCCCGACTTTCGTAAACTGGTGGCCTCACCACTCGAATGCTTCTTGAGCAGGAGATGAAGCCGATCCACAAGCCCTTTCTTTTTCAGCCCAGCAAATCTCTCATCGCTCTGGGAAAGCAGCACTCGGAGCTGCTTCTTCATTCGTGCGTGATTTCCGCAAGAAACAATTCGGCATCGACCTCACAAGGCGGACCATCATGAGATCCATCTGCGTATCCCACGGAAGTCGTCGTCCCTCCTGATCACCAGAGGTAACAGCAGCTGCAGAAACTGCAGGATTTGAGTTCGGCTCAGACATTCTGGTCGTGAAAACAAGGACCTCAGAAAAAAATGTTGAAAGGAAAGGAAAATTCTCATAGCTCATGTGGTGATCGTGGTACGAAAAGTCGACAGACCAAACTTCGTTGGATTGATGTTTTCCGCGAGTGCGTGTCCCGAAGTTCGTGGCAAGTTTCGTTACTCGTTCCCGGGCTTCAAAATCTAACGAAAATTCAGACGAATTTCGTTATGCTAAACCTCTCTAACAGTACGGTACCGGTACACCTACTTTCATAGCCTCAAAACATCCTTGTTGCAGGATTACATGTTGTACCTTTATATTAGAGACGGCCGATCAGGCCAAAGTTTTGGTGAGGGCACCACAGAAGACCAAACTTCAACTTCATAGCAACAGTTGACACATTAATAGAGAGGTTCCGCATAACGTAATTACGTTAGTAAAAAACGTAGTCCATCTACGGAAAGTCTTACGTAAACTGCATGCGCATCTGGGTTCCGCCATACGGAGTTATCAAATCACGTAGCTGCCCATGGCAACTCCGAACGCGGCAGTGTACGACCAGATCGATCTGGGGAGAGAGTCATAAATTTGTACCCCAATCCACTTACGGACCAGCTACGTTATCAGAGCCCTATCTACGTACTCTCCGTAGACAACTTTCCGTAAGTGGAGTGTAAACTCGCGAATTCACGGGTTTTTCCCGCCCACTAACGTAAAGTTGCTCAACTTTACGTAGTGCGGAACCTCTCTATTGTCCCAGAAAGTGGAGAAAATAGAAAATTTATAACCAGGTTTTATTGCAGATGACCTCGTACAATCCACTCTCTGGGTAATACACCGTTGTTGGCTATAAAAACCTGCAATCACCACTCCAAAGTGGTCATTGGCTGCCCCAGCCATATACGAGTTGCTTGTAATAAAACTATTGATAGGGAAACTCCCCATAAACCACAACACAACGGCTCTCCTAAATCTTGAAGTAACTGATTTTGATTGCTAACTAACAGACTTGGAGGCTAAATGTACCAGTACAAAGAGAATTTACTGCTTCACAGATACCAGTGGAATTGCATCTACGATAGCCACTACGTGTTGTAAGAATGCTCACTCCAATATCAATTAGAAATCAACTGTTCTAGCTGCATGCAGTGACATTATTTTATCAACAAAAGTACAGATAATTCCTGATGACAAACTAGCATACTCGGAGGTAAGATGTAACAGCGCACAGAGGATATACTTCTTCACAGATTTCAGTGGAAATACATCTATGATAGGCACTATGTGCTGTAAGAATGCTCTCTCCGATCAATGGACAACCAACTGCGTTCTAGCTGAGCGCAGCGACATTAATCAACGAAAGTACAGATTTGTGACTACAAATTAACATACTTGGAGGCAAAATGTAATCTACGATAGGCACTACGTATTGTAAGAATGCTCACTCCAACAACAATTAGAAATCAACTGTTCTAGCTGAATGCAGCGACATTATTTTAGAGGATATACTTCTTCACAGAGTTCAGTGGAAATACATCTATGATAGGCACTATGTGCTGTAAGAATGCTCTCTCCGATCAATGGACAACCAACTGCGTTCTAGCTGAGCGCGGCGACATTAATCAACGAAAGTACAGATTTGTGACTACAAATTAACATACTTGGAGGCAAAATGTAATCTACGATGGGCACTACGTGTTGTAAGAATGCTCACTCCAATAACAATTAGAAATCAACTGTTCTAGCTGAATGCAGCGACATTATTTTATCAACAAAAGTACAGATTCCTGATGACAAACTAGCATACTCGGGGGCAAAATGTAACAGCACACAGAGGATATACTTCTTCACAGATTTCAGTGGAAATACATCTACGATAGGCACTATGTGCTGTAAGAATGCTCTCTCCGATCAATGGACAACCAACTGCGTTCAAGCTGAGTGCAGCGACATTAATCAGCGGAAGTACAGATTTGTGACTACAAATTAATTGGAGGTAAAATGCAATAATGCATGGCGAAAATACTCCTTCACAGATATCAGTGGAAATGCATCTACTATAGGCACTACTTAGTATGTGTTGTAAGAATGCGCACTCCAATATCAATTATTAGAAATCAACTGTTCTAGCTGAGTGCAGCGACATTATTTTATCAACAAAAGTACAGGTTCCTCATGACAAACTAACGTACTTGGAGGCAAAATGTAACAGTGCACAGAGGATATACTTCTTCACAGATTTCAGGGGAAATACATCTACGATAGGCACTATGTGCTGTAAGAATGCTCTCTTCGGTCAATGGAAAACCAACTGGTCTAGCTGAGTGCAGCAACCTTTATCAACGACAGTATAGATTTGTGATAACAAATAAACTTGGAGGCAAAATGTAACAGTGCACAGCGAAAAAACTCCTTCACAGATATTAGTGGAAATGCATTTACGATAGGCACTATGTGTTGTCAGAATGCTCACTCCAATAGCAATGAAAAATCAAAAACATCGTGTGAAATGCATACTGATTATTACCTCTTACAGTCATGCATAATAATTGTATATAGGTGTGTTGACATATGCATGCATGTGTATGCGTGGTGTAACACTACAGGAATGCTAACAATGACTGGAACTGGCCGTCAGCTTTTTCCACTTGCCAAGGCTTGTTGAAAACCTTCCCACTGTTCCGGCACTGCAAACCAAATGAACACAACACATTGCCCTTGGCTCAATGCAAGTTAGTATTGCTGTATATTATAAGATCCTGATGAACAACTCTTTTCAAGGGCAGCTCTACCAGCAGTACTTTAAGGGACTGTGCTACTGTTCCAGTTTGCATGTTATTTTGTTTACTGTACTCCATTATGAATTTATGTTCAGTATCTAATGGCATAAATCCTGTCATAAACTTAAACTTTAGAGATATTCATATACTAGTAAACTGAAGAGCAGTATTTTCCAGTTATGCCAGGGTCGCCCGTAATTTTCGGGAAAATTCCATCCTGATGCAAAAACAGTGGGTGGCTGGTCAGGAACGCGGGCGGAATATTATTTTTTTCGCATTTATTCTAACACCTGGTGCACTATGTTGAGTAGTGTAGGATGGATTGTTGCAAATAGCAGTCTTTCACTATGACGTAGAACACGCATGGGCAGTAGATCAACTGACCAACTTGTACCCCACACACAGACGTGAGATCTTACTTTTATATACCGTATTTTTCCGGTTGTAAGTCGACCTTTTACGACTTAAAATAGACGGAGAAAGGGTGGGGGTAGACTTATAACCGGGAACTATCTGTATCTTACAAACAAATGATCTGCACTGCATGCACAAGTGCACCATGTGTACACATTGTTGCCAGTTTATTGGCATTTTTTTCAAGGATTGGTACGTTATACCCTCCATTACCAACCACACAACAAGCCGACCTGTTTGGGAGCTATTACGCGTTGTATTACCAGGAGATAGGCAACAATTGCCGCATACAATAATGCAATATTCTGGTCCAATGCCAGAGCTAGTATTGCAAGCACCGCTGTGCGTTAGTATGGCCAATGCCGACACTAACTGGGGCAACAATCGCCCGGCGAGAATTCAAACGTGTCAATACACGAGCATGCAGTAGGGATGCACTTGTGGGCGAATGTAGGCGCACTTGGCTCAATGCCGGCCTGACCCACGATCCCTACTGTTGAATTCAGATGTGTCAATACACGAGCATGCAGTAGGGATGCACTTGTGGGTGAACGTAGGCGCACTTGGCTCAATGCCGGCCTGACCCACGATCCCTACTGTTGAATTCAGATGTGTCAATACACGAGCATGCAGTAGGGATGCACTTGTGGGCGAATGTAGGCGCACTTGGCTCAATGCCGGCCTGACCCACGATCCCTACTGTTCTCCCTTACGGGATGGCTTAAATGATGCACTTGCGAGCTATTATAGGCGCACTTGGCTCAATGCCGGCCTGACTCACGATCCTTACTGTTCTCCCTTTCGGGATGGTTTCGAATGGAATGCTAGTGAGAGATGATGGGGTGGGTGGTGGTGATCAGAAACTGGCTGCGATTGTCAAACAATTTTACCGTCAGCACAGCAAAGCGAAGAGCAAGAAACAACAGCATGGCGAATTGGAGTAATGCGCATGCTCCGCACAGTCCCGTGCGGAAACGCGGGAATTCGAAGTGCATGCATGTTATGCATGTACAAGTGTTGCTTATGGCAAGTATGTTGGTGTGTTGCTAACTCCACTGACCGTGCCATGCACGGAAACTTATAATTAAGTAATGTTGACATGTTGACATGATTTTTTGATGTGTTAGTAGCAGGAGGTGGTTTGTAGTGCTTCTTTGGGTGAACACTTTAAAACGCAGAATTGAGACCTCCGGATACGGGGGTCCACCTATAACCGGGGTCGACTTACAACCCGTAAAAATAAGGTACTTAAATGGACGCAGTTTGTTTAAAATGTTCTAATTGGTACAAGTACGGGGGAAATAGAAACAAGTAATGGGAAAGAGAGGAGGGGGGCAGTGGGTCATACACAACTTTGCATAAGGACGGATTTTTAAGGTAGCTCAATTGGGTGTCACAAACTGGTCTTCTCAGCATCCTTCTGTGCAGATCATGAGTGGAGACATTATTACTTTCTGCGGCTCATGGGTTCGAGCCCGTCATGAGCGACTTTTTCTTCTTCTTTTTCCATGATTTTTGGAATGACATACCACATTTCCGAATTGAAAGGAGGTTCTACAGCAGGAATTTGCCCAAATACCCCCTATAGCCTTTTCTCTTTCCTCCTGAGTAAGGGTGTGACTTGACACGCAATAAGCTGCAAAACAGCGACATTATTGTTATTTCACCATGCTCACAATGACTTTTATGCGAACACAAATTGGGGAAGCTATGGAAGATTGCAGCAGGTGATAGTTCTGAAATTTGTTGTACAAAGTAGGCCCTATGGTCAAAATCACACAACATGTCCTTAAAATCTCATAATCTGATATTTTTTATAGCGGCATACGGTAAAAAAATTCACGGTTCAGGTGAGGCTTGGCTGGACGCCTAGTTGTTCGCATCCGCAGGAATGCCACCACCCTCAAGGATCAAAGCAGGAACACCACCACCCTCAAGGATCAAAGCAGGAACACCACCACCCTCAAGGATCAAGGCAGGAACACCACCACCCTCTAGGATCAAGGCACAGATGCAGCTCATAAAGCGATAGGAGGTAAGTAGATCAGAGCGACCCACAATGTGGTCAAAGACAAAAATTCCATTCACTGCATCCATGTTTCCCTCGTGCCAGGCCACGAGTTCCCAATTAACTGTGGGCCGCAGCACGGAATGAGGCAAAATTTCCTTGTCAGTTTTGTGCGATTTTGTAGCACTCGATGACTATATTTGATTTAATTTATTTTAATCATAACTCGTAACATTTTCTCCTTTGTTTTTATCCATGATTACTTTAACTCAACATCCGAGTTCAAATCTATTAGCTAGATGCACCTTATTATCTAATTATTTCACTTTTTTTACTAGTTCCTTCCCATTTTCGTACATTTTCTTTTTCAGTTCCTCCATTGTTCGTCATCTTTCTGTTCCCTATTCAATGAAAAATCCGTCATTTATGAACGACCCAAAGACCACATTCTATGATTCATGATTCAGATGACGTAGACTAAAAAACATCACCGCGTCATTGGTTTTATCAAGAGTACATAACCCCCCAGAGTGTGCAACGCCTGATCCAGCTCTGCATTGGGTCTTGGTCGATCGTAATTGGATCTTCTGATGTCATGCGTGCACTCCATACCAGCGCAAGGCCGGTCTCGAGGCAAGGCACCATTGTTTTTAATCCGAGAGTACCCGTGACTCCCCGGGTTCCGCTCAGATGCCTAGTGTACGGTATTATGACGCAAAGATCCGATTACGCTCGACCAAGACCCTATGCAGAGCTGGACCAGGCGTTGAACACTCTGGGGGGTTATGTACTCTTGGTTTTATGCAACATGGATGCACACACACACACTCTGGTTTATGCACTCTTGCTGTTGCCTGTTGGCTTGTCAAATCTATACTAGTGCAAACTAACAGCATGACAGCGCATAGGAGCAGTTTTCGTATCATTCTGCAAAGCAGATTATTACAAAAGTTATCTGAAATGATAAAGGTACACAGTTCCCTTATCAGTTCAGAAAACTTTTGTAATGGCCTCATCATCAACATAGTCCGGGAGCAAAGTTCAAAAAAGTTCTTCTAAATGGGACTTTGCTCGCACCTGTAAGAGGGGACACTTTGGAAGGTTCTGTGTGCGTGCGTGTGCACTGGCTTATATGTGTGTGTGTGTGTATGTGTGCGTGTGCGATGGCTCATATATGTGTGTGTGTGTGTGCGTGTGCGCGTGTGTGCATGTGTGTGTATGTGCATGTGCACCCTGGCTCGCGTGGGCACGCTCGTGTGTGTGTGTGTGTGTGTGTGTGTGTGTGTGTGTGTGCATGCCCCCTCTGGAAGCGCTGTACATACTCTTGTGTGTGTGTGTGTGTGTGTGTGTATGTGTATGTGTGTGTGTGTGTGAGCGTGCCCCCTCTGGAAGCGCTGTACATACGCAGTTTGAAGCAGGAGCTATGTCGACAAAAGAAGCATATCGAGGTGCTGTGGCTGTTAAAGTCGCAAGCGGACTGATAACTTTATCACGTGTTCATTCTGGTACTGCAATCCCTTCATGTGTGGTTTGCCACAATTCTCCACCGCTCCATACGTTCTTGTGGTAGTGTGAACTTGAGCTGGGTAAGAATGTCCTTGCTGATTCTGCACCTCAAGTGTAAATTCTGGCTTCATTTTCATTATCGCTCACTTTCTTTTCTTTTTCTCTTTCTCTCTCTGTCCGTCCATCTGTTCATCTGTATTTCTGTCTGTATGTCTGTCTCTCTCTCTGTCTCTTTCTCCTTTGTCTACCGGCATATTTGAGCATGCCGACTATCTCTACATAAATACCTGTACAATTACAAATAACCGACGTAGAGTGGCAAATGGGGTGCATTATTCCCTGCCCCGACTATTTCTGATGAAGCAGTCTGCAACCTTATTACAGTATACATGGAAAACAAATGCTGCATGAACTGATCACATGTACTCTGTCATAAACTCATGGGTTTTCTTACCTCCAGTTGGAGTCATTAAGCATTCATCTCTGTCATAGAAATATGTTTCCTACAGAACATATTGATCAAGTACACAGAAAATGACAAAACTGGAACTGGTTAAAACTGGAAGAGACATACTCAACTATAGCAGCAGAATAATGGCATGCGAGTAACACAATTATCTGACAACTCCAATATAGCACAATAGTAATGACATGGAGCGAGATGGTGGCTGAAGCATACCTGGCGGTAAACGTATTCAAGCCTACACAACGCTCTCTAAGCTGAAAACTTGTGAAAAGGTATGAAAGTATGGCGATATAGATGTGTACCTGCAGGCACGACAGAGGCTTTTATTCCCGTAGCTATGCAGAAGACGTTACTTCAGTAACGTCTGGCGCTAGCCAGGGTCCACACAGCTTTAATTCCCGTAGCTATGCAGAAGACGTTACTCCAGTAACGGCTGGCGCTAGCCAAGGTCCACACAGCTTTAATTTGGTGTTTGTGTGTTTGTGTCACGCCTGGCGCTATCCCGTATCTGTCCCGTACCGTACCGTACCATCAAACACAGCTGGCCACATACAGCTGGCCGCAATATTCAAATAGGGCTTTCAAACGCAAGATCATAACCTGAAGCAACTTGGAAGAATGAGTATGGATGCGAAGTGTATGAGGGAATGCATGTAGGGCGATAGTGCGGGTTCGAATCCCAGGTTATGCTTAAAAAATAGGAGAATTGAAAATTTTATAACATCCCTATGCCTTTTTTGCCTAGGTCATCAAGGCGGTAGACGGTGTCTTATTACCCTCGACTGTACCTGTCCCGTACCGTGCCATCAAAGACGGCTGGCCACAATGCATATTCAAATAGGGCTTTCAAATTCAAGATCATAACGTGAACCAACTTGGAAGAATTAGTATGCATGCGAAATGTATCGGGGGATGCGTGCAGGGCGATAGTGCGGGTTCGAATCCCAGGTTATGTCTTAAAAAAAGGAAACATTTATATGAATTTATAACATCCGTATGCTTTTTTTTCTAGGTCATCAAGGCAAAAAAGGATAGCGTAGGACCCTGAGCTTCCAAGCTCTCTCGTTTCTTAATTCTTTATCATTGACTCTCAGAGGCAGGGGCACTATTCGAGACAGGGGCACTATTCGAGACAGGGGCACTTTTCGAGACAGGGGCACTATTCGAGACAGGGGCACTATTCCAGACTGGGGCACAATTCGAGACAGAGGCACTATTCGAGACAGGGGAACAATTCGAGACAGGAGCACGATTTCAGAGAGGTCACTCTTCGAGAGAGGGCTCTAAACAAAATTCGGATAAGAAGGTGGGTGATGCGTGCAGATATGTCCCCACAATCGCAGATTCAGCAGTGCCGCCTGCACAAAAGACCACCGACCCTGCCCAAATCTGATAATTGACATTTAATGCTGCAAGGGTTAACCTTTATCCTCCCAACGTTCCCATGCTATAGAGACATAGTGAAGTAATGCAACTTGAACTTACCCAGATCCAGGAGACTGTTTCTTCACAAGAGTGAACACAATGCCTCCAATCAATGCGACCAGCAGCAAGGTGGCTATGACTAGGCCTGCCACTTGACCACCGGTTAAGCTTGACTTTGCATTAGGAATATCCACTTCTCCAGTCAAACAAAGTCAAATGAAGGACACCAGACCAGAACACACACACACACACACACACACACACACACACACACACACACACACACACACACACACACACAATAACATACCAGCGCGCATACACACATGCAAACACACACACACACACACACACATACACACACATACACATGCACACGCACACACACACACACACACACACACACACACACGCACACACACGCACACACACACACACACACACACACACACACACACACACAAACACACACACACGTATGCATGGCAACACATCAACATGCCTGGGTGAATACAAATTACGCAAACCCTTCTGCACATGGTCATTTCCAAAACTGCAACAGATTGACATCAATGGCAGGAGTGGGAGTATGTACTCTTGCAATTAGCATACCAATTTTCAGCTAACTTGTCGTATGGGTCATAAGTTAAGTAGTGCAGGAATAACGAGAGCTTGCCTATCATACTCTTTGAAAAAGGAAACAATTACAGGAACATGCGCATGATGTCACCGACCAACAACAACATGTACAGCCTCATGGTGGCTGTCTTTCTCACCGTCATGAAAATCATACATACAGTAGAGTACAGAACAACAAGGATAGTCAAGGCTTGTTTGCTGCTACTTCAAGTTTCACACTCTCGCAATTATCAGGCAAGAGAGAGGGAGGGGGGGGGGGGCTGATGATTGTGAGAGCATGACACTTGAAGTAGCACCAAACAAGCCTTGATTGTCCTTGTTGTTCTCTATTTCGATCTGCCTCCGCGGTGTTGGGTACATCCTTCGCTGACACAGTACAGTCAAAAAGAAGATTTTGTAGAATCTTGCACTTGAAAACACCGCCCTTCCGGCAACAGGCTCTCAGCTGTACCAAATAAATAACTTTTCAGCGCGAAATATTGGCAAAGTTATTTATTTGGTGCAGCTGAGAGCCTGTTGCCGAATTAGCGGTGTTTTCAAGTGCAAGAAATGCGCTGCAATGGAGTTTGGGAATTCTGAAGAAACGTTTTGTAGAATCTGGCCATTCATTACGTATAATGTTGTTGATATACTTGTACAATCACTTCTTCTCATTGCCTCTGCCTCCGCCGGGCCCCAAAGCACAACCGTCCTGCTCGCCATCATCATCCTCATCATCATTACCACCTTCACCTGTCAAGCTCAACTCTCCTAGTACATGTAACAGATCACCTGGGTTTTCATCATTGCTGTACACTCCGCTTCTATACTCCTCTTCCCGCAACTGTCATGCAACTTGTACTTTCATCATTTCCATCAGTCACGGATTACATTGATAATTGTGGCAAGATATCGTTCAGAAAACTTTCAATTGTTGCTAAGATTGTGATATGAGTGCCCACCTAGTTTATTTCATTACTGGTTAGTGCGTATTATGTGACCCTGTTTTATGCAAGCAAAAAGAAAATGTTGTAGCACTCACACTTTTCAAATAATACGCACTCACCAGGTTTGTCCACACGCACTCACAGCTGCCACATTCATCTACTGCTACCATTCTCAGATACACTGCAAAGGTTCACACTACACGCGCTATGCATAACCGCAAGCTGTGCTGCATTCTCACGCTTCTTTTCATATTACCCTAGCTATATAACTGGTTGTTTTAGTGATTCTTACTATGTGACGATGTTCCACTGATGCTAGTCACACGAAAACGTTCTGGAATTGTTTCATTTTAATTGTTTTATACATGGTTACGAGTGCACAATTGATATTTTTCTATTTTTGCTATTCTGCTAAAGTTTTCAGTTTTCTAGTATGCTCAACAAAGTAACAAGTTAAGGCCGATTCACAATACAACTTTCTCAGACGCGACACGCAATTTGCGACAGTTGCGACAAGAAACTGCCTGTCCCGAGCTGTCGCAAGCCGTCGCAATGCACCTGTCGCAGAAGTTGAAGAAAGTTCAACTTTTGCGACATGCGACACGCGACATACACAAATGTAGTACAGTTGCGACCCTGGGTGCACGTGCACACATAGTACAGGTCTGCTCTCGATATAACAACTCTCACTTGTACATAAACCTCGCTAGTACATAAAAAAAATCAAATCCCGCGCCGAAACAGCATCACTCCCATACAAATTTTGTTCTACACAACGTAATCCTACATAACATAAACCTCGACATAACACATGCTACGGCGGTCCCCGACGTGCGAACTCTCGATACAACATAAATTCACTTGCACGGTACGATCAAGCGGTAGCTGTAGCTAGGCAGTTTAGGCCAGTTCTAGTCCTACATAACGTAAACCTCGGCATAACGCACCCTACGGCGCAGTCCTCGACGTGTGCACTCTCGATACAACGTAGATTCACGTGCGTGGTACAATCAAGCTGTAGCCGTAGCTAGCCAGTTTAGTCTTATTGTGCATATATTCTGCGGCATTGATGGTATCTGATGTCGATGGTGGTACAGTGTGTATATGTTTGCACGGTTGAACCCGCCTTGTAATACCCTTCATTTTGGGGTGCATCTTGTATTTTACACACGGTTTTCTACATAACATAACTCTCGATATAACATACTTTTTGCGTGGTCCCAGAGATTACGTTATATGGAGAGTAGACCTGTACTACTTGTGCGCATGAGGCCGTCGCAAACATGCAGAATATTGTGAACCGTGTGTCGCTGCCGCAGCTCGTCGCATGTGTCGCAAGTCGCATCGCAGAAAGTTGTATTGTGACTCGGCCTTTAGTTTCAAATTCCAAATAATTTCTCGATCGACGCATTCTCTGTGTATACTCAAATGTGGCCGGTTCTCCACGGGACCGAAGTGGATCGACAGCGACATGTCTCACCTTGACGAAGAATCAGATCATACTCGTCTCAGCAACATATGAGCGACTTCAAGCACCTAAAAATATATCAATATATTGGTCCCTCATCCTCAAAGAGTTAAATATTATTTTACTCTCATCATCAGTGGATAATTAGATGACGTGGAGGAGTTTCTACGCATCTTTTGTACGTCGTTTTCGAGCAGTGAAATGTTCCCGAGTACGGAACTTGTGTGTTTGCCGTCATTGCCAAGGTTACGATCGCAACCACGCCACATTCCCGCGCTATGCCTTGTTATTTTGAACATATGTACCGAAATTAAAATCTCCCGCGGAAAGTCGATGTTTCTCGTACCAAATTTGGATGCGAAAAATCTTTCTGCACCCGATGACGCAAAAGCTCCATACAAAACATGATGGTGATAATCAGAAGTCTGTGTTTCACCGACATTTGTCGCGCACGATATGCTCGACAATTACAGGTCTTTGAAGCTGTGTGTATTCGTCTGTATAAGCCAGTTCTGTGTAGGCATAAGAAGCATGTAGTAGCACTCAAGTTATTATTCGTAAGTTCACATATAGTCGTGAGTCAGTTAAGTGTCAAGTAAAGTCGGCGGAATAGCGCGAGCTCCGGTGTGGGGAGCAAACCCTTTCTTAGGTTCATATATTGTTTATTTTTGTGTTAACGTATATGGCTCATAACTATTATCTCAAGTCGTTGTTCACGCTCCTTTTTTTGAGCCCTTTTTTGTATAATATTATTGTATCACTCCAAAAATCATTTTTTCCTCTGCTACACACTATTATTCTTTAGTCACAAAAATCCACTGAAGAGAGTGACAAGAAAATCGATTTTGATTAAACCTCTTTTAGACTTCTTTGCTGTGCGGCATGACCACGGAACTAATATTATTCATTGCAATCATTAAATGGGCCGCGATCAGCTAAAACATGTCTTTGGGGTTTCGTAAAAAAGTTGGGAAATGACGAAATGAAAAAAATGTTTTTTTGGAGCGCGTTCACTCTGCAATTCATTCATGATGTGGCAATCATCTTCTCAAATTTTGTTCAAACACTTGTTTGGCGGTCTAGTTCAAGTAGCTGGCGAGAAAAGACTGACAATGTCCGCATCTAGTGATACTAGAGCAGCTCGCAGGGCCAGACGATCGCTGTGCATGGCCCAGGTTTGTTCAGGTGCCTGCAAGTCCGTGGCGGCGGGTCTGCAGAGCGCCGCTGACAATTTGTTGGGATCTCAGTAATGTTGATGTCGACAGCGAAGCGGAATCGTCTCCGTCGTCTCCATTAGCGAAGAGGCACAAGTTGTGGGCTAGTACATAATCATTAGGCGGCGAACCGGCTGCCTCACGACGTTACTTGCGTTCAGCTCTCATGAGTCGTCTGATGCAGTCTCAGACGCGCAGGCTACGATCGAAAGTGTCACTGCCAGAATCGAAAGAGTATGCAAGTGCGACGCCGCCCAGAGCATCGTGTTGCTTTCCAGGAAGAACTTGGGCCATGCCTTTAAACTGATGTCGTTGACATGCTCAAGTCTGTGTCAACATCTTTAGTTCCGTTGTATTGTGCTCCGCCACAAAAGCCACTAAGTAATAGTTTGTCTCTTTGTGTCAGACTGTGCGAAAACTGTCATTTTCTATTTCAAAGTACATATTTTGAAAGCGGTGTTTGGGGCACTTGTAGACTACTTTTCTGCCTTGTACTTGGTCCGTTTCATCGCAATTGTCGCTTATCTATCGCAACTAAGAACAGGAGTTATTTTACCGCTCTGTAAAATTTCCAATACGCATAGTGAAGAAGCATGATACAGGATTCCTGTCCGCCACAAGAAAGAAATTCAGCGATGGAATCTGATGAAGGAAGTCGAAGAAAGGAAGCAAGGTTACAAAAAATGTACAAAAAGAAAACAGCGACGGAGCGCCTTCTTGCACTCACGCTTTAGTTTATCCGACTCTGGCTCTGTATCACTCGAGCTGATGCCACTTGAGCTAACATTCGCTGGTGTGTATAGCGGCTGGCGTAGAGTATCTTTTGCTTTCTCCGCTTGGCGTATGGCAGGGATGGGAAAGGAACAGTCGTGGTTGTCACTTTGGCACTTGGAGGAACGAGGGCAGCGTGACCCTTCTGTCACTACAGTACTGTGTGTTCAACAATGTTTTTGAATCAGGCACACATCCCTCTCCAGACAGCTGTCATATGCTCTGCTGGATACGCTGACCACGACTCTTGTACTGCCGCTGCCAGGTCGGACAATGTCTTCTTTGCCACCATCTCGCCATCAGTTTGCAGGCTTGCAAAGAATACCAGGTCATTGCAGTTCAAACGTGGCGACTGCGCTGGCTGGACTGGCCGTGACTGTCACGCTCTCCAGGTCAGGATGTCGATTTTCCCTGCTACAGTTCCGGTCTTTGAGCTGCGCTTGGCTTTTCGCTGCAGTGAATGTGCGCATTCACTGCAGTGCATTCACTGCAGCGAAAAGTTTCCCACTTTCCCATCAAAATTGTATGAATCGCGATACCAGTGGCGCTAGTCGCGAACGTTTTTTTCTTTCTGGTCTCCTTTGATCTTGCCATCACAACCTCCCAAACGAATGTGAGTTAGATATCGAGATCGGACTGGGTTTTACCTGTCAAAAGGTGCGTGGGAGATAAGCGACAATTGCGATGAAACGGACCAAGTATCACCTTCAAGAGGTCAAGTAAGGTCCCAAGAACTGTTTTCTGGAGGAAAACAAAATTTGAAAAATTTCACTCTAAGACATGTTTTAGCTGGTTGTGGCCCAAATTATTGTCTCCTCGTCGCTTAATTATAATAATAATTATAATAATTATTAGGGCTGAAACGATTATACCGACTAATCGAGTACTCGTTTGATAACTCTAACGGTCGAGCAATCGTTTAGATTACCGATTACGATTATTTTACGTTTTTTAAATTTGTGTCCAGAAGGTACTGTAAACCCTCGTTTTGTGAAGTTAGAATCAGTTTCCGCTGGGAGTATGCAGTTGCCAGGGGTATGGTTCATGTTCTGAGGTTAAATTGACTTCAAAACTGCCACGTTTCGGAGCTACCCTTTCACTAATGCAGATTTGTTGGTATTATGAAGGCATAGTTAGTGGAAACAGAGTAATGTTTGCACAGAATTATGACTCTGATTATAATCGAGTACTCGATCGTTAAGCTAAAGAGTAATCGATACGTGAAAATCCACGATCGTTTCAGCCCTAATAATTATTAATTATACAAAAGAGAAAGACCAAGGAACTACAAGTTACGCTATACTGTCCACTAACACCACCAGTTACTAAACAATCAGCTCATGCGATAACATTGCACGACACTGACCGACGGTACTGACGTTCTACAACTAACTGGCTAACAGCTCTAGCACATCTTGGATGCACACTCGAACAGCCTCATAGCCAGCAATCGCATGTCATCACGTACATTCAAAATCAACATAATTTTGCTATAAATCGACCTTTTGTCAGCATCACTTTTCAACGAGGACTAAGCAAAGTCGGCCGAACGAAGCCCAGAGGAAGTAAATCACCCCCTCCACTTCACCATCACGATACTGACATAGATACGAGACGAAACAACTAAAAAATGCACAAGAAAACTGTACGGCCATCTTCGCGCTGACTTTGGTCTGAGAATTTCTATCACGATCAAAATTGTACGAGGAGCACTCAAAATAAGCTACCTGAGACGTACCTTTATCAAGGCACAAAAGTCGACTCTCCATTTTCAAACCAGGAACCTGACATACTAGTGGTCCTTTTCAGCTGCTCCACGAGCGCAGGAAATGTTCACCGAGGGGCGCAGAGCAGCCTCCATTCCAGAAAAAGAGCTAAAATACGAGTGAGACTGCATGCCTGAGTACTTGAGTACATGCAGGAGTACATGCAGAAAATAGTCAATATCGGCGTTTCTGCTCCAAACAGCAGCTTCCTTCGACTAGCTACAAAGTTTACACCAAAGGATCAAAGAACAACCATTTTCTTCATTTTTTGGCAGATGGCTTCCTTGTGCTTGGCCCAGCACGCCAAAAATCACACCTCGGAGGAGTACAAAAATTACAACTCTCAGATGTCCTCAATTGCTGGCCATGTTCCAACTTGGAAGGTTCTAACATAACTTGGCTCTCCATCTGAGTACAATTATTATTATTATTATCCATTGTTCTCATTTAAGTGTCTTACTGTCAGTTGTAGTACTCCCAGTACTGTAAAGAGGATAGTTTTAGCGGCTAACAAATTTATCCATTTCTGAATCAGATCCAATTAGCGATGAAATATAATATTTTAGAGGTGCGAGTTTCAGGGTTAAAACAATGTACATTACTGGTACTTTACTGGACATGCAAATTTTCCATTTTCCGTGCGACAAATCTTTATTAGCGAAGACATTCCTTTTGCAAAAAAAGTAAAAATTAGCGGTTTTAGTTTAGTATTAGTTATTAGTTTTATTGACAGTAGTGATTACAGAGTGAAATTGGACTGGTGTTTTCCCAACATCGGGCACATACGCCATTGGGTCCTTGGAGTCCTAAGGGTGCAGGTGCAAGAACTGGTGTGCCAATAAGTGGATTTGGAGAATGAAATTGGGTATTGCAAGCAAAGTGAAGTGAAAAAAGAAAATCAGTGAAACTAAGTGTGAGATCCAGCATCACAATTACCCTATCACAATCTTGTATCAACTTGAAAAGAGGAGTTATTAATTATTTATTACTTACAGGTGCTGTTGAAAGTTGTCGTGCTCCCAGTACTCATAACTGAGTCGGATTGGGCGGGGGTTTCCCCAATATCAGGCACAGATGACATTGGGTCTGCACCACCATCTGATAATGGGGCTACAAAGCTTGTTGCGGATTGGTTCAAATCTGGGGCTAACGTGCTTGTTGCGGATTGGTTCAAATCTGGGGCTAACGTGCTTGTTGCGGATTAGTTCAACATGCTTGTCGCGGATTGGTTCAAAGCTGGGGCTAACGTGCTTGTTGCGGATTGGTTCAAAACTGGGTCTAACGTGCCTGTTGCGGATTGGTTCAAAACTGGGGCTAAAGTTCTTTCTTCAAGCGTAGATGTGTCTATAAGTGAATTTAGAAAATGAAATTGTGCATTCCAAAGAAAGTGAAGTGAAAAAATCTGACATTGCGGGCCAAACCATGGGCGTCGGAAATTAGCTTTGAAATGGTTAATATGGGTTTTCACCTATTGATTACTCGTTAGCTTAACCATGGATTAATCAATTTTAATAGCTAACAAACAGTGTCTGACATTGCAGGCAAACAATGGGCGTCCAAACTAGGATTAACACGACCATGGGTTTTCAACTATCGATTACTCTTTAGCTTAACGATGGATTAATCAATATTATTTTAGTAGTTAACAAAATTAATAGTGTCTGACGAATTGCAGGCAAACCAAGGGCGTCCAAACCTGGTGTTGAAATAATCATTGGTATTCACCTATCAATTTCTCTTTAGCTTAACGATGGATTAATCAATTTTAATAGTTAACAATTAGTGTCTGGATGTTGTACAATATTTTCTCTTTTCCACAAGTTATGTCTTAATAAAACCAAACATCTGCATATGAGAGGCATCACAGACATTGTACCGCACAATTTAAATGCTAGTTACACAAACATACTTTGCGGCGCACTTCATCCCTGTGTTCAGTACGATACGTGCGGTCACGGTGAGGAAGGATGTCCTACATCCCACCTATTGAGCCACTTGGTCTACCAATTTGAGTGCCGGAATTGTGATAGCTGGTACGTTGGTAGGACCCTTCAACACCTGAGTGCACGTATCAAACAGCACGTACCACTTCACATGGTGCCGGACGCAGCAAAAGTGAAGTGCCCTAAGCGGTGAAGACCACGCAAGAACCCGCTCCCTCTACTACCGACACAGCCAGAGCAAGTCGAACACACAATGCAGAGGAAGAGTGGTGGATCACTAAGCCAACCGAATGTGCCTTCTCCACCGTTGCCCTTGCCGCCACCGGAGCCACAACCAGTGCTGTTGCCACCACCAGTGCTGTTGGTGGCTGGGGTTGGGGTGGAGTCGGCAACAACGACAGTACCGCCAATCACAGAAATTGATCCCATTTCTTTGACACCGTATCCGGTTGTGAGGACACCGCAGCACGCTCCGGCGCTTGACGGAGGTCGACCGCCAATTATTCAACCGAAATATATGCTAGGAATGGTCAAGGCCCACTCGTAACAAGTTCCTCCCGCCGTTGTTTTCACGAAACACGCAGGATACATGTGCAGTTTTGGTGGAAGCGATCAAGGTGCCGGAATCACGCACACACATACACGCAAGCGTGCGGGTGCGAGCACACACACACACCGACACACACACCGACACACACACCGACACACACACACAAACACACACACACTATACGTAGGCTAATTGCTAACCTGTGCAATTAAATCCGTCGCCAGTAAATCCAGGATCACAGGTGCATAAAAAGCTTCCCAAAGTGTTGTTACATTGTGATGATGTACCATTACACATGGTGTTACACTCATTGATATCTATAAGGGGAATAGATTAACACACATGGGTCAATCAACCAGGTACAAGTACAAGTACTACTTCCTCAACTATTATTCCCATTCACAACAGGCAGGAGGAGTTCAGAATAAACTGTTTCAATGTATGTGAAGAATTGTGGCCTCAAATTCTTTACCTTGAATTGGACGTAACTTTAGTTTCCCTGGGACAATTGTCATCATCTTGGTCATCCTGGAAAGCCCCTAACGAGAATACGATGAGCTCAAACTCGAGTACACGAGATGTGCTTGACCAGCCAATTGACCAGGTACAAGTACAAGTACTACTTCCTCAACTAGTATTCCCATTCACAACAGGCAGGAGGAGTTCAGAATAAACTGTTTTAATTTTGCCGGAGTCAATACATGTAAGTAATTACCCAAATCAAGGAACATGGCAAATATTCCATTTTGCTCAGAGTTGATTCCTTTAATCCCCTGGTGAATCTCATTTACTGCCCATGACAGTTCTGTCCAGAGACTCTCAATATTGGGGATAGTTGGAAAAAGTCAAAATTGGAGTAAAATACACATTGAACGAGGGATCACTGCTTCTCAGAACAGAGCAGCGGAGCCAAACTGCTAACCAGTGTACTAACCAGTGCAAGAAGGTGCAGTTCCATTAAATCCCGTTTGGCATTCACATTTGTAACTCCCAACTGTGTCAGTGCAACTGGTACTCTTGTCTTTGCACAGAGTCAAGCATTCATTGATATCTGCGAAAGGAAAAAAACATGGGGTATTTACAAGAAACAAGAAAAAGGTAAGAGGCTACTCATGATGTGTGCAATGTGTTGAGGCTGTCAGAAGGCTACATCTCTTAGTTATCATGCACTTGTGACTTTTGTGTCTTGCACCTTTTTGTGCACATTTTCAAAAAAAGAAATCACACCTACCTCCTCCGTTAATAAACAAAACTTCGTGATGGATTTCTCAGGGATTGGTTTGTGCACAAACTGCCATGAGAAGAGTCGCGATCACTTTCTCATGCCATGAAAGAGGTATGATGCAAGGAAAGCGACCTTTCACGACAAGCCGAGCGGAACCCATGGCTGCACTGTGGCAACAAAGGTAATGGCAGCCATGGCAAGCGAAACTGTAATACCACTTCTCTGAAGGGAGAATGCGCTGCACGCTTGGCCTCCCTGCTACTCTAGCACTGAGTTCGAGAATGATAGAGAGCAATGGAACGGAGCAACGATCCTACACAATGAGCGAGTGAACAAGCAGCTGCTCCGATAGCACGGCGCAATGAAATAATTCTGAATTCAAGTTCTTGTTCAACCTGCGCAAAGCCCAGATTCGAATGCTGATGACCATGCATTTTTTTCAGAAACCTGCAGTCCGATGAGAGTCTCGTGGCTAAGGAAAGTCGACTGGACTTGCTAGCCGCTGCCGTTCTGAGCTGGTAGGAGTATCCATTGGAATCAGTTTGGCTGTGCATTTACTCCCACGTTTCGCAGAGCTCTGGAGATTGGAGATGAAACCAAGAGTCGGAATTTTTTACGGCTCTCTGGCGGAAATAAGTAATCGCCACCGCAGTGGATCAAGCAGCCTGAAAGACAATTTGAATGACATCAACATCACCAAAGTTAAGCAGAGTGTGACCAAAGAAGCCGAGGAAAGGCTGAAACTAGCTGAACATAGACTCAAGAGAGATCACGACTAGCGTGCAGCAGATGACGACAGTGATGCAGGGTCAAAAATAAATCGAGTGAAAGCGACGCAAACTGAACTCTCTGCTCATTCTGCCAACAGTTTCTATTATAAAGACGCAATGCATGAGCTGAACTACCATCATCCAGTGATTTGCAGTCAATACAAACTGTTCTTGAACTGTTCTAACTTCTAAGTGTTTTCATATCCAATAAAATCCATCACGACGTTTTTGTTAACGGACGAAGTAATTTAATGTCATTCACAAATGGGTAACTATTCAAGAGAGTCCACTATTTTTTCAATGGGGGTACATTTACATCATACAGCATAAAACAATTCAGGAGAAGAAAACAGAGCTTAAGGTTCACTGTAAAATTATCACGACTCCACAGAAACAGCAACAAGAACTGCGAAACCACCAGTACAATGACAAGGACAAGAACATCACCAGGAGAACACCAAACTTGCACATGCGCCTGGGGGGGGGGGGGGGGTTGCACTATTAAAGAGACGGCTTGTGCTGTCGTTTGGAATTAGAAGATCATGGCCATAATATTTCAAGTACCCTTGTCTACTAGTACCTACTTTGACATTCATTTGTCGTTCGGTTATAAGAATGTCCAGGAAGGCATCCACAGTCAAATCGATTCTCCAGATTTTGACATGTTGCATTGGCAGGACATGGATTAGTTGAGCATTCATCAATATCTGAGAAGATGAACCACAGAAATACAGGCACATACATTGCACTTGCATAACGCCATATACACACACATCTGAACTTGAGCATTTCTGCACTTGACACAGCTCTTGGACGTGTGTTGTGATAGTATTCTATTCTCTGGCTCTGGTCTCTGTTTTGTCACCTTTGAAGTGACAACCGTTTGGTTTCCTGCCAATTCTCAAGCATTCTTTTGATCATGCTTGTCTCCCCTTCAAGTTCCTTACCAAGTTTGAACAAAACTTTAGAAAAGTAACATGAGGAATGAACTCGGATGGAGAGCTTTTAAGCATCCGAGTTCATTCCTCAAAGTAAGGTGAGGATTGGTACGACATTAGTGGTAGCTTCTTATTGCAGGCCCAATGCAGGGGCGTCAGAAAGTATGTCAGTGTGGTACGGTCAGCCACCTGAAGTACGATTTACTCGTGAAGTTGGGTGGCTCCTCTGAAATTGGTCGAAATTTAGAACCAAAATCAGCGCCCTTTATTGATTCACATGGTTGAGCTACCATGTTCGTGACAAAATAATAGTGATGCGGTCAATACCGTGATAACCGCACCGTGTGGGATACCTCTGTAATGGCTGAGGCTCTTTCGATTT